TATTGCAGATACAAATGTTAAAATAAAATTCAAGCATTAATCAGCAATGAGATGGAAGTATCGCTCAGTCTCCCAAAAAATATAGTTTTTTTTTCTCCATAGAGTGGGAGTTCAAAAAGGCATAAATCTGAGAAAGGGTTTTGAGCTTAAAACAGGAAAAACTTAAAGATATCCACAAGAATGCTCAACCCAATTTCTCTTATTTACCACAATGTTTATATGGTTGAGGTTTGGGCATTCGGCATTTAATTTACAGTAGAACTCGTACCCCAGTAGTGGAAGACAGAGATTCACCTAATGTTCATCTCCATGGCCATGGGAATGGTCACCATGGCCCTCCCAAGGATGTCGCCAACCCTAAAAGACAAAAAATGGAGGGAAAAAAAATTAAACAGCATATTACAAGCAAAGGATGCCTCTATGTCAGAAACAATACTAAAATGGAATGAAGCCTTACCAATACTACAGGAGCATCTTGTTTTGCCCTGTAGAAGACCCAAAACCTGAAACACCAAGGTTGACAGACAAACTCCACTGGGTTATATACAGGGAAATTAAAAATGGAATGGAAAAAGAAAAGCCTAATAAGCCATTTTTGAGTTCGGTATCATCATCATATCTAGTTCAGAAACAAAGTCAGAAACTTTTAGCATTATCAGCTTGATATTGCCTGTTAGCATTACCCACTCAGTAGATACATTCTTTATACCACCACTATCTATTGGGATGTTTAGCTCAGGTTAGTTTTTTCTTTTTTTGTCAAGATGACTTTATAGGCTTCCTTGCAAAACTTTATATTTTGTCATGTGTTCGATAATTAATGAAAAAGTTATAAGTTTGAAAACTTATAAGCTCTACAAACAAAAAGTTAGAAAGCTGATGTACTCTTTACCTTAGAGAGCTTCTTTCATGAAGAAAAAAAATACCGACCAAAAAGAAGGCCAAAATGACCCTTAACAACGTTAAAAAAATTTCTCTATACAATCTGTCATTTTCCTCTTTTAATGGTACTTCTTGCCATTTAAACTAAACTGACAGCTTATAAGTTACATCTTCATCAAAACATAAGTAAACTTTTATAGCTTATAAGCTTGTATTGCCCAACCATTTGAACAACTTCCATATAAAAAAATTATATTAGAATATATGATGTTGAGGTTATTAGCTCTGTAACTAATACGACTCCTAATTTTCAAGCTAAGCCCCTAAAAAGCTTATATCACGATTTATGTCTAATCCCTTGAACTTAAAGGCCATCAGAGAAAACATCTAATCAATAATCCCTCCATTGTTGAATGCCGTGTGTCTACACTTAATAGCTTAAAAGGTAAAGTAAGCCCCTAACAAGTTTTTATATTCACTTTTATCTCTAATTCCTGGAGCTTAAAAAGGCCATTACATAAATACCTAGTCAAATATACCCTCCATTGTTGAAACTTTTGTGTTGTTTGTGTGTGTATATATACACATTTCAAAAGATGAAAAAGTTCTCGAGCAATAAAGTTTTACTGCAGCCTCGACGTATTCATAAATCCCGTTTCTTTAGTCTATCATACAATAACCATAATCCAGATTCTTTGTGCAATCAGACCACACTCAATTATTCTGCAAACCATCTGCTATTTCTTATATATAAAATGCAAAACCTCCATTATATGCGCAAATTAACCTCACAAAAACCTAAGTTAGGACATCATGCTGATCAGAGAATAGCGAATGCAATGATTCAACAACGATGAGATCCAATTAGCTCGAAGCATCACAAAACTAGATATTAATACTGCAAATTGGAACAAATCCAAACAAGCGCAATCGTTTCAGATCGAAGACAAAGAAAGATGAGGAAGAGAAAAAGTCACCACATGACGGCGCACAGGCCCTTGCCAGTTACAACGTGCCATCGCTTCGGATGATGCATGGTGAATCCCTTGTAGGTCGTGCTACCTCCATGTCCTCCTCCCCCCATCTCTCCCTCTCTCTGATCAGAGGCTGAAGCTACGAAATGGTCGATGAACACAGCCCTGGTACGCTTCAAGGAGACGATTGTGAAGTTCTGTAGCACGTTTGGGCCGCATGATATACGGACTAGGCCCAAGTTCAGCTTAAGCAGTTGCTTGTGCTTATATATATATATATATATATATATATATACCGGTTTTTAGTTAAATTTTATTTTTATCAGATTAAATATTGTTTCAAATAAATTTTACAATTTTTAATATTTTTTAATGCTGAAATAATCTAGAAATTTTTTTATATTTAAATTACAAATTATAATTATTTAATATGCTTTTAATAACTTGATTTTTTTTCATAATTAAACTTTCATTCCTTTTATAACTCTCAGCAAGTAAAATTATTACAATTTTTTTTTAAAAAAAGGGTTTTAATTTTTTAATTATTTAAAAAAGAAAAATAATTTTTCATTTATTTTTAATTTTCTTTATTTTATTATATTCAACTACCAAGGTAGTATTACAATTTCATATCCACAAATCTCAAAACAGACAAAAACTCCTTCTATCTAAAATTTATATCAAGAAACCATGTAAATTTTAAGTTACAGTCTTCCTATTCAAAATTCCCCCAACGACAAATATTTTTGTTCTACCACCTCCTACTTACATAACAATAATAATGCAACAAAAGAATTTCCCAACAGTCACTCTTGCATTCAAGTATTCCTGAACTTCCTGCAAGTTCAAGCAGCGGATTTAAACAATCTTTCTATTAATTTATAAGAAGATCTTCAAGCAGCAGATTCGATCAGAAAAGCCGCCGGCCTTCTTCCAAACTAATTAATTTCGATTGCCGTAATGAAAAGAATCGGATAATCAATACCCAATGGCATATTTGGTTTGCATATCCCAGAACATTTTGGATTGCCTCAAGATCTGCGTTCGTTCCGCAATCATCCGCTCCTTCCAATATTCTTTGCACCTGGAAAATTTGTGTCAAAAACTGAGAATTTTCATGACAGAAAAAGAGGGAGAGGGAAGGGGGGAGGATGTTAAGTTTCCCCGAACTCTTCACCTTCCTTTCAACAGTAAATCTAGCTCAAGCATGTGCACTGCGTTAAGATATACTCCAGCCTGCATATGACAGGAAAGAAACTTAAAATTATATGTTATTTAAAAACTAGAGATGATGATATTTATTTATTTTTACACACTAGAAATAGGACTCATAACTCATATAAGGGTAACAATACCAACTGATGTTATTTAAAAACTAAAAGTTTTTATCTCTCTTAAAGTTCCAAATTAAAAGAACAACACGGTTCAATTAAGGTTTCAAAAGACGAAAGCCTTCAAAAAGAGGTGAAATGAAGATTTAAGTATCAAAGTCCACTTCATAGAAGCAAGACTTAGTGCTAACTGGAATGAAATTATCCAGTAAGGAATAGAAACATTCCACAATCTGATATTGTATTTCTGACCATTCGAACTAACATGAACTTAATGAACAAACAGGAAAAAAATCCTCAATACGAGAATGACACCAGGAATAAGATATTAAGATTGAAGAACTAAAAAGGTAATACATGTCAATTCTGGCAGTGATACTAACTAATTCTCTGCTAAAAAGAAAAACGTATTTTCTTTCTCACATAAAGTGGTAAGAAAGACAAACTAGTATGAGTAAGCGCATGACTGCTTCTAAGACTCGAAAAGAAGGTTATGGTCAGACCTAATATATCCTCGGGCAGCTACATAAGGCAACAAGCTTGCTGCTGCTGCTGCTAGAAATAAAATCATAACAATTATTTACAGACATGCATGGTCAACAAATGTATCACCAGAAATAAACAATAAGTGAAACAATCCCCAGCTTTTATCTGTTTCAATAAGATAGATTTCCATCCTTCACGACTTTCATAGCCTTCATACTAGCAAAACTAATTTTGAGATAACAGGTTTATGAATCTCAACATGCTGAAGGTACTTTGTGGTCAAGAAGAGATTGACTGTTGTCTTCAGTAATTGGATAACAATTAATGTAGGAACAAACTGGAACGTCCTAGCAAAAACAGCATGTTATTCCCTAACAAATTTAAATGCTATAGGAGAAACATACAAACATGCATTTGCATCTCAAATACTTTTCCAAAATTTTTCCAGTTGAAAAAATACAAACCTCTCTACAGATCGGACACTTTGAATCAGGCCTTGCAGCTTTAAGCCCTTGAAATATCATCACAGATGCAGCTGAGCACGCGCATGATTTGCAGAAGAGATGGCCGCAGTTAAGAGCATATGGATTAAAAACAAGTTCCTGCAAGATCGTGCACAAAAGACAAAGTAAAACCCCACATCTAAAATGATACAGCATCTTTATCATTGGAAAATATTGTGTCAAATCCTACCAAGCAGATGGCACAAGTGAGATCATATTCTAGCTCAAAAGAGCTTGAAAGGAACAGCTTCATCACAGGTCGTGCAGCATTAAGATCAACTGAAAAATTACCAGAAGACTCACTGAACTCTCCAACATCAAGTCCATCAAAATTTAAATAAAATGCCCCCAGTTCTATTAGCCACGGGGACTGCAGTAACTCTATATGTTCTGCCTGCATCTTAGACTTGAAATTTCTCCCATTCACAGAACTATGAACCTGAAAGAATTTTTAGAATAAGAATCCCGCATAGAAAGTAGAGATGGCAATGGGCAAATAAATGTTACCTGCCCTCTTCTACCCAAGATAGAGTAAGCAAATGAGACAAAAATGTGGGCGGTAGGACAGAGATAGATAAAAACTCTTTACCAGCCTGATAGTGGGATAGGTATGAAGGAGACACCCTGTCCGCCCCATACATCATTTATCTTGTTTTCTACTATTTCGAATGTATAAAAATTACAATATTTTTAATATTTCTTGATGTTTTTGTTAACTTTATCATCTTACATCAAATATATTTAAATTACTCTTGTAGATAATTTATATATTTAAATGAAAACTATGACTTAATTTAGATAAGGTGGGCAGATGGGCAGGGTGGGAAGATGTTTCTACTTGCCCTGAGAATGGGGTGGAGTGAATGTTGGGGTGAGGGAGGGTGGTGGTAAGGGAGGCGGGGAACCTGTCTCTCGCCCCATATCTGCCCCACCCCTAATGGAGAGAAACCAATGAAACCAGCAGAAATAAAATGCAAACCTTATCGTATTTCTTCAGGATTTTACGAATAGCAAGTGCATTCATCGTTATATACTCTATCAACATCCGACCTTCTTGTACCATCACTTGTTGATCGTTTACAAAGCACTGACGTAGACGCAACACATATCTTTGGATTCCAGTAGCAACATGAAGATGGAGGAGATGTCTGACTCTGGTACTGAAGCATCCAGCTATATCTGAAGCTTCCTTCATCAACTCAGTGAAGAACATCTGATCACATACTACAAAATGGATGTTACTGTTACACAAAGAGATGAACTTTAAGATATCAAAATCTTACTTTAATGTAAACCAAAATAATAGGTAAAACATTTATTTAACCCGGAATTCTTATTTTTTTAACTATTATGTTATTGTCTTAAAAAAAGGTGTTGGAGAAGGCTAAGTTAACTTAGGGAGAAACAACAGATTTGGCAGCATATCATTTTACAAGTTAGTTTTGTGCTTACTCATACATAGGGGTGGAAATATAACTTAACCTCTAATTCCACTGTTGTTGAAAAAGTCGACCAACATTATCTTTCTTGATCAGTCAATTACCGTATTGAAAACCTAACTAATAAAGTCAATGAAATAAGATTTGACTGGCCTTTAAACTGAATTTGAAAATGAATAGTAGAATTTACTTTAGAATTGCCGCAGCAATATATCCTCATAACTGAAAAATATCGAACTTATTAAAAAAGAACTTCCATCCTGACCTATGTGCTACGATCCCCTCAGAATCTTATCTAAGAGGCTAACAGCAAATGAAATTTGCCTTCTCTAGCCATAACTACTCTAGTACTATGTACTTATTAACGGGAATGGGTAAAAAGAAAGAGAAGCATGGGAAAAAGGATCATCTATCCCCTTGTGAATAAAAGTTTTGAGAGAGAGACAAACAGAGAGAAAGACAGGAAAGATAGGGATGGCGGACATCCCTTACTTTACCTTAAATATCTATTTTTCCCAATCTCTCAAATTGAAAGAGAAAGAAAGACAAATAAAAGAGTTGAAAAAATTTTAGTGATAGATTATATGTTTTATCTCTGTCTGCCTTCTCAGGTGTAACTGAAATGACTCACTGAATATATCATTTTCTTACCAAATGAAAGCTTACCAATGATCCCCCCATTTCTTTTCTTTTTAAGTTATCAGGTAGTGTTTCCTTTTATTCCTTTTGTTCCTTTTGAAAATATCTACGTATATGTTATTTTCCTTCATTCCCTTCAATTTTTTAATAATTTTTATCCAAAAATAAGATAAACAGAACCAAGCAAAATGGAGAAATTATTCTATGAGAAGAATACATGACAATATGGTATCAGGTAATAGCTCGACAGGTACAAGAGTTAACTAATAAAATTCATACAGTGAAATTTTTGTAAGTTATTAATGAAAATAAGATAACTTATTAGTATATACTTGTTATATAAGATAATTCTTTAACCAAAATGAGGCTTTTCCCACTCATTGTCTGATAGACAGGTAGAGTTCCCCATCCACTAGGTGGAAAGTAACTATTCTCAGTTTCCATCACCGCAGGAATTGGAGTCCTCAGCAAACAACTAATTTTTGAAAACCTATATCTAATATTTTAAAATATAATCAAAATAGTAGAATAATAAAAATAAGTCTCATAATTCTTAAAACCATAACAACAGAAACAAGTAATTTGAAATACCATCCAAGAGGGTAAAACATGTATTATAGATAGATCAAACATCTCTGCTGAAAATTCCAATTTCTATGAAGACTCAAAATTAAGTATTCAATACCTAAAGCATACAATAAGACAAAGGTTTAAATATTAAGTGAAAAGAGAGCACCAACTCTCTCTCTCTATTTGGATTTTTCTTCCCTTCTCTAGATTCCTCTCTTCTCCCTCTTTCTAGATCTTTCCTTGTTTCTCTTCATAGACTCACTGGGTCAGCAAAGTCATATACAAATATGTGTAGCCCCTTCCCATTTTAAATTCAAACAAGCAAGCAACAAGATAAGCCAGCAAGAGGCAATAAAACTATAAAAAAGAAGGGTGTGCTTGTGATAGTGTGGAGTCTCTAAGAAATTAAGACTGTGCTTAACGTGTGTGTTTGTATATTTGTTCCATGTGCTTTCAATAAATAGTCATGGTGGTGCTTTTATCAATTTCTTTCAAGCAGTGCCACCAAATTTCTACAAGGGGTACAAAAGCAAGGTTCTCAGAAATCAGTATTAAAATAAGTGGCCCAAGACCATGTACGAGATGGCGTCAATAAGCAGTCTGGAACTCGGACGCTAGTTGGTTCCACACCAGACTTACTTGGTGAAATTTCAAGCAAATAACCAAGTCGGATAGGCATAACTACATAATAACAATTATAGCACATGCAGTGTTTGTATGCAGTTTTTCTTGCTTGGTTGCAAGATCTATGGAGATTTGTTGGTGACCTTTAAACAACAACCTAGACAAAGAAGAGTAATCTTAAGAGATGGAAGATCAAGGTTGACAAAGCTATGTACGTGCTATCAATAGCAACAAAAGATGAGTTATTACAAAACACCAAGGATGCTGAGACTTCGAGAAAAGCATGGAACAAGGTTGCTGAAATATTTGCTCGGCTAATGACTCAGAAGCTGCAGCAGCTTGAGAACAAGTTGCTATCAGTCTCACAGCAAGATATGACAATAAGTAAATATTTTAATAAAGTTAAATGTTTATGTCAAGAAATTGAGAAATTGAATTATCAAACTCCAATTTTTGAGACCTGAATGACATGTATTATAGTCAATGGATCACACCCATAATATAATGGGCTCATTATGGCAACTCTTGGATGGGTAAAAGAGCAAAAGCTTAAATAAATTAGAAAATATATTAACCAACCAAGAGGCTTTAGACAAGCAAATATCTAAATATTTGTCAAAGGTGAAGAAGATTTTCAGTGAAAAGAAAGGTGATGGAAGAATTCAAGCAGCTGCAAGAATGAGAAATCAAGGAAATTCTAGTAAATCCACACGCATAGCAGAAAAGACAACAAGGTAAAAGCAGTAGCTTAATACTAAGCAGGGTTGAGAAGTAAAGCGTACCATCAGGAGAATAATCAGTGTTGTAATTGTAGTAAAAGAGGTATTACGCCCAATACTGCAGGTATAAAAAAGTAGGGAACAGTGTGGCATCCACAAATCCCTAAGATTGGAAGTAAAGAAGAATGTGACGAAAAGCATCCTATGCCCTTGAAGAATCATTGACAAATGATGTCAGTGAAAGATAATTTAAAGAGCTTGCACTTGCAGTCTCCTCCGTAGTTGAGTCCAAAGAAGCACAGACATTTCTTATTAGTGATAAATTAATTAATTATAATGATGGTTGGATATTAGGCTCTGGATGCTCTCAAGAGACAAAGAAAAACAACCGAGCATGTCGAATTTTTCAAGGAAAGTGAATTCTTACAATGCCAACTCCACAAAGTTTCCAGTCACTCACATGGTAAAATGGTATTAGTGCCCGATTTAGCCAACAACAAATGCAGCTGGAAAAAGTTTTTCATGTACGCGGGAATAAAAAAGAATTTAATATCAGTATCCAACTAACATTCTCGGGTAACTGTGTAGTATTCAAACCCAACAGCGTGAAAGTATATAGTAAACCAATCATGGAATGAACAAGATTAGAGCCTTTCTATGTAATATTAGCACAAAAAGCTTATGTAGACAAGACTAGGAGAAATGAGATGGTTTGATTTATCCAGGCATGCCTGGGCCATGTGAGCTATCAAAAGCTAAGGGCATCTGAGCGATCAAAAGCCAAGTAACACAACACGTTCAACTACAGGTTATGTATTCAAGCTTGGATCATGAGGTACCGCTTGATGCAGCCAAAGACATCCAATAGTTTTGCTGCCAAGTACAGATGCAGAATAAAGAGCAACAGTTACTGCAGCTCAAGAATCTACTTAGTTGATACAACTTGTGTAGATCTTAATCAGCCAATTAATTACTCAGTACAGCTAAATTGTGATGACCAATCAACTATACGGCTGGCAGAAAATAAAATACTTTATGCGAGAATATAAACATGTAGAAAGTACACCATCATCTTGTGAAGGGGAAAGTAGTACTAGGAATCAAGATAAAACATATTAGGACCCAAGAAGAGGCAGCAAACACTCTTACTAAGAGCCTTAGTAGCATAAAATTTGAATAGTTCTTAAACCAACTTGGTGTGATAAACAAGCAACTAATAGGAGACCAGCCATTGAGGACGAGTGAAAAGAGCATGGATTCTCTCTGTTTTCTCGTCCATCGTCTAGATTATTTGTTTCTCTCTCTTTCTAGATCTCTTCTTGTTAGCAGTTTCTCTTCAACCCACTCATTGAGTTAGCAAAGTTGTGTATAAATATGGGCAGCCTCTTCTCATTCTAAATATAAGAAAGCAAACACCAAGATATGGCAGCAAGTGGCAGCAATATAATAAAGGAGAAGTGTGTGCTTGTGATAATTTGAAGCTTCTAAGAAATTAACGTGTGTGCTTAGCTCAAGGTGTGTGTTTGTACATTTGTTTTGCTTGTGATAATTTGAAGTCTCTAAGAAATTAACATGTGTGCTTAGCTTAAGGTGTGTGTTTGTATATTTGTTTCATGTGTTTCTGCTAAATTTTTATAGAGATGTAGTATAACCAATTTTCTGAATTAAGCATGTATCTGGAATTAATAAGAGATAAGGATAACACGAGACTTTTAAGTACAATCAGAAGCTCCATTCCAGGATCCTACTCCCATCCCCATCCCAGTAGCACTGGAAAAAGAAACAATTAAAGGGATCGCTTGTCTGTCCCTTTTTACATCTAGTAGAATGTAAAAAGGGGAAAGATTCAGTCCACTTGGATCAAGCGGTTCCCCTGAACCAGTTCCCAGATGAAATACCATTCACGGCACCAACCTGTTAATTCCAATTATCAGCTTGGAATCATACTTCATACTTCCATTGCCTTTACCTCATTGACATCATCATGAGTTCTTCAATACGTATTTACATAAACACTATAATAATCATTAAAAACAGAGGAAGCAAAAATGTATATATATGATAACTCTATAAGAGAAAACCTTACATGGGCAAGATTGGCATTGACATATTGCGGATACTGAATGGTGATCCTCCTTGTCTCCTCTTCCTTCTCCGGATTGGCCACGGTCATGCAATGATTTGCATCTCCTACAGCTCTTCAATACTTTCTTAAGCCTTTTGTACTCAACATGAGAGCACTTGTCCAAGAAACACTCTTGCTCATGCTCTCTATGTAGGTACTCCTTGAATGCCTCTCCAAATTTCATCCTCTCTCCTTTTTCTCTCAAGCTAAAACCCTAATTTCAGTTTAAACAGACAAGGGAAGTGAGGAAAAAAAGAAAAGAAGAAACTTCAAAACCAAATGCAACAAGCAAAACTACCTTAACCAAGAAGAAAAACAGCGAAATCTCAGAGAACCCATAAATTAAATATGCAAAATATTATTTTCTATAAGTAGAGATAGATTAAACAAGAGAAAAACACTCAACCAAAGACTGAAATCATATAAACGCGTAAATTAATTTTGAAAGAAGACAAAGAGAGTTTCCATAATAAGAAGGCCAATAAAACTTGACGCAAAACCCAAAAACCTCATTTAATCTCTTTTTCTTTCTTTTCCCGACTGTATTACACGAACTTGCCAGCTAATTAAAGAAGCTCCTTCGATATTCTAGCTTACACTTACTCGACAATGGCAGCTTCTCGTGTCACCCAAAAAAAAAAATCCGAACAAGAGGAAAACTCTTTATACTATCAATAACCAGAAGGAATAACAGCGAAAAGAGCAAGGCAGAGAAGTCTAAATTTGAAACTTGTTGAATTGATTATCTGTAATTCCGCGAGATGAAAACCACAAGCCCCAGAGAGAGAGAGAGAGAGTAACGGTGTAGGGGCTGGTTTCTCAATTCAAACAGCACTATAAAAACGTAACCCCGCGAATCCCTCGGGATCATCGTGAGAGCAATTAGAAAGGTCGAGTGACGCACTTTATGTCGCACGATTTGCACGTGTGCACGCGGCATTAAGCTGGGATTCCCTGCTATCGGGTCCATCCAACTACTTATTTTATCTAGGTGACACAAAAATTTTTTTAAAAATAAAATCAATTGTAAATCAAATTTAAAAGAGATAATACATTAAATTTTTTTTTAATTCAAATTGGTGTTTGCACTCTTGTTTAGTTAAAAAATAATTAAAATTTTTAAACTTTATTTAGATTCATATTATTAATACGTATTTAATATTATTAAATAAATATTTACATAATAAATAAAATATCAATACATACATCATATTTTTAAAAAATTATTAACGTGATAACTATAAGACTATTATTCTATTATTGTATTAGTAATTATTATTATTATTATTATTATTTTATTTTTATTTTTAAATAATTATAAATTTATAAAAAAATTATCATCATCAAAATAGCTAGAATATGTTTCTCCCTTTTAATTTTTGTTTAAATACCATTATATAATTTAATGATACTTAAAATAACATGTTACATAATCTAATAATAACGTAATAAATCACATAATTATCACATTAATAATATTTTTAAAATTAATTATTTATATAAATACGTTTTACGTTATATTAATATGTATCTAATATTATTAAATATGTTATATTAATAAAAATTTAGTCAAACAAATTTTTAAAATATACATTTTATTTAAATTCAAAAATAGTGTATAAAGTAATTTGAATTTTTTGATGTATTGTCGAAAAAAAAATTTAAAAAAATTATTATGGTTGATATTTTTCTCTAATATCTATCACAATTTACATAAATTATAAGTTATTGAAAAACATATATAAAAGATTAATATTGTTTGTCCAAAATTTTATAATTATATAGAAAATACAAAATAAGATAATTGTATAGATTTAAAAATTAAGTATGACAAATAATTTAATGATTAAATATTAGTTTATAATCAAATGAGTATTAAAGTAGTAGGGAAAATAATTTTTATTTCTATCGGGTCTTGCGGCCTTCTCGTTCTGATAATCGGTTTATGCTCAAATCAACCAAGTCATTTTCATTTTCCCTAACGCTGTGATTTCTCTGCAAAGACGACAATAGTTCACGCTTTGCCCTCCTGAGCTTGTCTAAGGTAACTTGTTTGGATCCTGTATGGTTTTTCCCTTCGCTAATTTTGTTCGAGGAATCAGAGAGGAAGTTCACAAATCACGATTTTTCACTTTAATTTTCTCGGCCGCCAAACAACAAAACACTCTTTTCATCTTGTGGAATACCTAGTTCATGGGAGTTGTCAACAGTGAGGAAAAATGTAGTTTGCAGTGGATGCTGATTGTCAGTGGGTGTTTTGGTATGTTAAGAGGTGTATTAGGACCAAATTTCTCTGTGATTCTTCATGATTTGAATTTTTCGAATTCTAGTTATTTTCTGCCTCATATCTTATGTGGTAATCTTTGGGATTTGCTTGAAAATAACATGTTTGGAACAAATGAATTTCATGGGAAATTTTTTGTTAAATTTTGGAAAGTATTGTTTTAGTTTCATTAAGAATTCTTTTGGAAGTCAATTTACATTGTTTGATAAGAATTTTTCATTGTATTGTAGTTAAACTAACTTCGAAATTCTTGAAATAATTCCACAAAAATGGGTTGATTTCTGTCAGTTGCTCGTTTGGGGAGGTTTTTTTAGCCCCTTCGTGTGTTATTGAGAATGGGTTTAATGCTGTCTTGAGTTGTGATCTGTTAAAGCCAACTACTTGAATCAACTATATTTTGATCCAAACTGAACAGGGTTGATTGCTTTATGGAGTTTATGCCAAGCCCGTGTGGCTGATCGATAAGTTTATGAACATACCAGGACGTTCCAATTTTCCTAGTTAAGATATTTGATAAAAGAAATCTTGCAGCGAGATCAGTACTTTGCAATTCCAATAATTTGACGTGTTTTATATACGTGGCAGGTTGTTTCATGTGTTCTGAAGTTTATGCTGCCATTTGGTGTACTCGATTTAAATACTTCTGTTATCTTTCTTTACGTGATTCAGATTTAAAGTCAGTATTCTAACTGGATGGCTACATTTTTAAGAAGTTTCTGTATAAATGTTTGAATCATTAGATGTGTATGCATGCTCGAGTAATCGAGCCATTGTCCACAGAAAATAATTCAGTTAATATTGTCTTCAAGCTGCTCATTTCCGTAGAGTTACTTAAGTTCTCTATAGTCCTCCGCGTAATGGAGTTAACTTTGTTTCTAGGGTCCTGGTTGATAATGCTAAGTTTTCTCTTGCAAACAGTATGATCTCAATTGTTAGATGCAGTTAACCCGTTTTGTGTTCCATAAAACTGTTGTTTTGGTCTTTATCTTGCTCGTAGTCGTCAGAAACGTGCTCGTTACTTTTGACAAACTTGGGATTATCTATCTCTTTGCTCATGATCAGATTAAATTCTCACTTAAAATGCTGACCTACTGCCTTTTAGGTCAAGCATATCTTACATCTAATGGTAAAACCAAAGCAGCAGCAGCAACTTGCAGGAAGGTCTGCAAAGAAGAAGAAGACTCGAAGTTCTCATGTAGACTCCTTCAAGTCCAAGACTATCCGAGGTCTGCGTGGAGAAGGGGACTGGGTTATAGTTAAGAAGCAGAGAGTCACCATTCTGGTGCCTCCAGTACCTACAGCTAAAAATTCCATTATGCCAAAGCCTGCATCAAGTCAGTTGCAAGCTGTGCCCACGGAGAAGCCTGACTCTTTACCACTTTTTCCTGTCGAGACATGCCTCAGGATGCCTTCAGTCAACGAACGAGAGAATTGTACTCTTCCTGCACCGACAAAAGGCTTTCAAATTGCTAAAAAGTCTCCTGTGGAGCGCATCCCAGCAATGCCAAACCCACCAAGTCTGGATTTTAAGATGGCATCAGAAAATCAAGACTGTTTTGGTACTTCAAAGTCACAGAGGATTCTCGGAGTATCCAATACCTCAAGAACCATAAAGCGGCCAAAGTTGGATGGCCCAAGCCTTGTGGGTGGGAACATGTTACCACACCAGAGGCTGAGAGCATCACATCTCGAGAAGAAGCTTCAGAGAGCTGGTGGGTTGAGCCAGTGGCTAGCATCACTTGGTCTAGGACACTTTGAGAGTATTTTTCAGAGGAAGAGCATCACTAAATTTCAGTTGTTGAATTTGACCATGAACAAGCTCAGAGAAATGGGTGCCTTTGCAGTTGGGCCTCGGAGGAAACTGATACACGCCATCGATTGTGTTTGCCAGCCGTATTGTTTTGAGGCTTCGTAAATATTCTTCAAAATCCGAGTTTGGGAAACTGAATGGGAAAATTGAAGAATGCGATAGAATACTGGAAACCCCGTCGTGTAGATTAAGTTGTTTTATGTCATTTTGCCTAGAGGTGAAATGCCATGGTGATTTACCAGTAATGGGGATTATACTGAAGTGAAAAATAGCCAGGCTGCATAATTTATTAGTTTGCCATAATTTTATATTTCCGAGAAATTACAGTTTTATTACATATGATTCGATTATAGCTATAATTAAAATTATACGTTTTTTTTTTTTGCGATTTGGTTAATCACGTAATATTTAAACTGGTCAAAGTTTAAAAAAATCAGACTGAATCCATAGATCTTCTCTCTGCAACTTCTCCATCTCCATTTCCTTCCTCCATGTTTCACACCTTCACAACACAGAGAAATAGGAGATCCTGACGACTATAGACCTAAGCTGGGTGACACCAAGACCTGCTGTAAACTGACTGCCCCTTGTATTTCCCACCTCCTACACTAGGTTCTCTTTGTTGCCTTCCCTCTATCTCTGTCTCCATCTTCCTTAACGGTTGCTTTCTTCGGCTACAACACATATATATTCTACAAATTGGCGTCTCCCTAGACGGGTACCTTCAATTGCAAACCGCAACGAGGCACCAGTGGTACTCAGACAAAGCAGAAAGGACAGTGTTTGTTGATAAGCATTGGACGCACAGTTTAAGTTTTAAATATTTTATTTTCTTTTAACCTAAACAAATTTTTAATTAAACCAGTTTAAGTGAAATTGATAGATAATAACGTATTCGGAGGTAATTAACTTAAATTCACGTGACACCGCTCTTAATATTAAAAAATAAATACATTTTTAGCATAAGTAAATTAAAAAGGATAAAAATATAACTTGCAGCGATTATTTTCGTATTATAATTTTTTTAAACAATGGGCTGATGTAATAAAAAAAAAATTATTATTATTATTATTATTATTATTGTTATATTAAAAGGCTATAAATCCTTGACGAGTAGGAGTGCGCCAGGTGGCACAATAAGTAGACATCCAGCAGATCTGAGCTTCTTTTAAACTAACAAAATATTAGATGACGTAGAATCTACTTGAAAAATAAAATAAAAAATATTTAAGAAAAATATGGAGGAAATTTTAAAGTTGCCCAAACGGTGAGAGTTCGGGTTGAAGACAAAGAGAGCAAATTAAGGGCCGAGTAAAGCAGCCATGGAAAGAAAAGACGTAGAAACTAATCTGATTCCACTCGTCAAACGACAGCCGTCAAGTACTGCTGCAGCAGGAACAAGGACTGCAACGACGCTTCAAACGCTCGGCAATATCATAGTCTCGATTGTTGGAACTGGAATTTTAGGCCTCCCGTTCGCCTTCCGTATCGCCGGCTGGCTCGCTGGAGCTCTCGGCGTTGCTATTGCCGGCGTTGCCACGTTTTATTGCATGCTTCTCCTTGTTAGTTCTCTCTCTCTCGCTTCGTGTTTTTTTTTTTCTTTTCGGTTACTTGGGGAAGAAAGGCAATGCAACTTTGAACTTTGATTCTTAGTATGCATGTTTCGCCTTTTTGCAGTTTTCTTCTACTAGTTAGACGAAAGCAATATGAGGTTTAGACTTTTGTTCGTTTCTAGAGAAAGCTTTTGTTTAGGTCAGGGGGTTCTAAATACCGTTGTCCACGAAGTAGTTTACTGAGTTTAGAATAAATGATAAAAGAAAGTTATGTATGTACTTTAGATATATGCGGTGTTTTCACTCTCATTTTCTTAATTTAGGAAAATGATAAAGAATATATATGTTTTCATTCAGAAAAGTTCTCACGCTAAAGAGGCCTCACTTTTCCTGTGGGATTTCTTATTCTTTTTCTAATTACTGGATGTCTATTACTTTTGTTATTTTTTTTTAATTGATATGGAAGAGTTTGTTTGCTTTTTTCATGGAGTTCAGGTTGAGTGCAAGGAGAAGATAGAATCAGAAGAAGAATCTCAAGAAACAAAATCATATGGAGACTTGGGTTACAAGTGTTTAGGACTAACAGGTCGCTACCTAACGGAAGCCCTTATTTTCTTGTCACAATGTGGAGGAGCAGTAGCATACTTAGTTTTCATTGGCCAAAATTTGTCATCTATATACTCAGGTCATGGCTTCAGTTTTGTCACTTACATTTTGCTATTGGTCCCAATTCAGATTGCATTGTCATGGATCAAGTCTTTATCGTCGCTAGCTCCTTTTAGTATCTTTGCGGATATATGCAATGTGTTGGCCATGTGTTTTGTATTGAAAGATGATATAGAGCAAGCCTTAGGAGGTGAATTTTCCTTTAGTGATAGGAAGGCTTTCACTTCTAGCATTGGAGGATTGCCATTTGCTGGAGGGATGGCCGTTTTTTGCTTTGAGGGCTTTGGAATGACTCTGTCACTAGAGAATTCCATGAGGGAAAAAGGGGGTTTCCCTAAATTGCTTGCTAAGGCGTTTGCAGGGATCACCTTTGTATATGTTCTGTTTGGTTTTTCCGGATACATGGCTTATGGTGATCAAACAAAAGATATCATCACACTTAATCTTCCCAAGAATTGGTCCGCAATCGCAGTCCAGGTAAATGACCACTTGATTGTTTATGTTTCTTCTGTTGTCTTGTTTTACAATCTGTGTGGTTCACTTTGCTTGGTTGCTTGTTTGTTTCTCTATTCTTAGTTAATTTGCAAGTGCATTGACATTTGCTTTTGGATTGTGTCCTTTCCATCACTCATATTTGGTTGAAACTTATTAGATTATGTTTTTAAAAAATCATTATTTTTAAAAAAACCATTTGGAAATACTCAAATTAGTTTCAACAAGACAGGTGGAAATTCTTTTAGAAGATGATCAAGACAAACTTAGAAGAATGTATCTGAATTTTATTAATTTTGATATATTTATCTGGAATTTATTATTCCAGATCCACTTAAAATTCCTTATTAGCTCACTTTTTATTATTTTAAATCGAATTTTTATATTTTCTCAGTTA